CAAAACTGAAAAAATATCCCCTCCCTCCGAAAATCAAATATTGAAACTTCGACCTTGAATTTATTGGGTTATCGAAATATTTAATTTGACTTATCATCTAAGTCCTAGTTCCGACAACAATTCCGTCAAAAATTTCGAATTACTGAAGCTGAATGAATCAAGTGATGTATGTGGATGTCACCTAAAGACCTTTTTTTTTTCCTCCTGATGAAACAGCGGCCGAGCGGTAAATCGCTGAACACTGGTAGTTCGGTTCGACGTTCGAATCCCGCGAACGGGCTGTCTGCATGGGCGTTTTCGTGGTTTTCCCCATGTGTAACGTGTATATGAGCCAGTTTCCTTAGAAAGTCCTCCACGAAGGCATCCCTCCCTTTAGGCAGATAGCCCTCGTGTGCTTTGCCATAATTAAATAATCCAATCCAATCCAATCCAATCCTTAATTAAATATAATTGATTTGTAACTTCTACTAGAACTGACGTTAAGAATTGAAGTGCAAATAAATAATATCGTGTGCAATCTTGATTAATATAAAATTAAAAATATTTGCACAGAAAAATATTTGCATTCAGACAGAAAGTTTTTTGAAATATTTGCAATTACTTTATAAGAAGGATTTATTAATAACCGTAATAATTACTTATTATATTACTGATGATTAGGATTCAGTTCTTGACAATTACATTCTAAATTAGAATTTTAAGGATATAATGAAAATACGCTACGCACAAAAATACATTTTAGGATAAAAAATGAGTTGATTTTTTATGTTTTAAAACTTCTTGAATTCATTTAATAAACATCGTATCCTCGTTGTTAATTGAATCCAGAATGTTGGGTGTCGTTTATATAATTATTCTTACTTGTCCACAGAATCTGCTGACTTATCCAGCGATTAAGTAGCTGCAGATCATTTCTACATAACCATTGAACTTCCATTAATTCAGTCTCTAGAGGGTTGTATGTTTATATCATAATTTGACTTTTATAAAAATGATTATTCTAAATCTTATGTTTCTATAAAAATATACTGTGCTTTAAAAATATGGATGATAGTATCAGCCGCTCTTTCAGCCACTTCAAAAGCAACAGTTTGTTTAGAAATAAAATAAATTATGCAGTTAATGTCATAAAATTCAAATAAACATCAAACGAAAATTCTCAGTTTTAGACAATTCGATTTAAACGAAGTAAAGTAGCAGACGATAAAACGCCGAAGGTAAAAATTTACTCTTATTTATTTATTTATTATTTATTTTTAAAAAAGATAGAGAGAAAAAAAAAATAGTTAAAAATTTGAATAAAATCATCTATAATTTAAAAAAAATAGCTTTTCATTTAGTATTAATAAATATTTATTACGCATCATTGAGGGAAAAAAATGTCATATAATTAATTCTCCATAAAATTTTACTTGAAATTTAAGGTTAAAAATAGCTGTGGCAATTCAGTGTAACAAAAATCCATAGACCACATTTGGCGTTATTATCGCTCAAAAAAAAGATGCCAAATTTCAAAACGCGAAAATATGTAAATTCGTGTATATCTTAGAAAATTTTGAATAAAAAAGTCTAATTTTTTGCAGATATGCTTAAAAATACACCTACTTTAAGATGATGGTAAAAATTTTATAGGTTATAATTCAAAATTTTTTCGAAAAATTTATAAAAATTTATTTAAAAATAGAAATTTAAAAAATAAAACGCAAAAAATGGGTAAATTTTATTTGGAATAAACCTAAATTTCGAAATGTGAGAGAAAAAATTTAAAAAGTTTAATAAAAAAAGAGATATTAACGAATATTTGCCAAATTCAATTAACATTGAGGAGATAAAATTTTGAGAGCTAATATTTTAAAAACTACTCGTACGATTTTTACAAAACTTGGTGTTCTGGCATAATTTTAGACGTAGAATCGAAATATGGAAAAAAATTGGTATGTTATTTCAGAAAAAGTCCGATTTTGTGTCAAAATACCTATGTTAGATTAGTGCTATATATAGATCTAATATATATCCTAAGTCGCGCTTTCGAGACATGAAGAACGCAGTTTGAATTTTGTCAATCGGCCCAGTAGAACGGGAGATATAGCACTGTCCCATTTTTTTTTTTTTTTGAGCAGTGTACATAAACTGCAATCTGTTCAATCACATATTCTATTGAGTCCAGCTATTAATACTTACTAAATCTTTGCTTTCTTTTTTGGAATAGTGTCGTACGTAGTAAGATAAGAGAGCTACTTTTAAACTGTTCGACTGTTTCGTAAAAAGAGACATGCATTTTACATGACGTGGGTCCTCTTTCTGTCCTTTAAAAAAAACGGAGGATTTCGGAGCCAGGATCCTCCACTCTTTCGACAAGAAAGCTAAAGATTGCAGAATAACCCTCCATATCATGTAATTGGCTATAACCCTAAAAAAGAAAAAACAGTTATGAAGTTGTCAGAAGCTATCGCATTCTACACAATGTACCAAAGAAATAGAAATAGATTGAGCAGTCCTTAACGCATTACTATGCCGTATATGACGATCCATGCTCCGCGGTCCATGCGTTTGAAGCCAGAAGATCGGAGATGCTAATTACAACGAAGAAAGGAAGGCGGAGGCATAGCCATATCACCGCGCGTTAGAGTTCTCATTAGTGATGAACGTAGCTTGTAAATTGGCTAATCTGTAGCTAGCTACAGATTAGCCAATTTACAAGATAGATAATCCTAGCTAGTAATTAGCTAGTAGATAATTCGTTAGCTAATCTGTAGAACCATAGTTTCGTGAAGTTGCGAAGAACATGGGTATGGAGATACATGTTTTGTAATCAGAATAGCATAATGTTTAGTGGACATACCACTTTGCATATCTATGATCAATTTCAATAACGGGAAACTGCTATTACAATATGATGATCTTTTCCCAATTTTCGTCTTTTCCAAGACACAATGGATTCTAAAGTTATTTTTATGGTTTCAGCAGTATCGTACGTGCAGGACGCGGCTGTACTTAAATCATCATGGAGTGATTATAGTATGAGAATATTGAAATATATCGTATGGATTGTCCTGATGGTGCACAGATCTTAGTCGTATAGTCAATGTGTAAGATGCTTTTAGGAAAAATCGTGCAGCATATTTACATTTACTGCACATTATCCATCAATCCATGAACACGTGCAAAGAAGTTTTTATCGATTACCTCATATTAACCACGTGACATAGTAGACAACAATGAATGGTTGACTGCAAAGCATTCATTGTTGTTCGATGACTTCATACTCTTTAATAAGCACCCTGGTTTGCTGTTTTTCCCTTTATGGAAAGTATGCAAATGTTAATTGCAAGTCATGTTTTATATCATTGTCTTACTGAATGTTTTGTTTAAATTTCTAGAATTGTCTTTACGCTTTTTATTCATCAGTGTCGTGAATAATAAAATTTCTGCGATAAAATTTTTCTTTCTTTTCGCTGCTTCCAAATTACTGGTAAAAACTCTTAAATTTTGCACATCAGTGTGTTTAATATGCATTGAATATTTTTCTTTTTTCGTTTAATTTTATTACTGGATTAGTGGCGTAACGTATTTTGATTATTTATTTAAACGTGCATACGAATACCTTTTTACGTGCATTTAAACAGATTTCATATGCCTTTTCCCTTCCAACAGAGTTATAAAATTACGAGAAGATTCACAGTTTGTTGAGACTGAGAATTATGAGAGAATTCCGGTGTATAAATGAAATTCGTTCAAACTAAATATGCAAAAGATTGCTTTACGGCATATTTCTGAAAGAAAGTAATAGAATTTTATGGAATAGAAAAAACGATCTTATGACATATCAAAAAGTTAAGTATTTCAAGATTTTTATATGTTTCGATATATTAATGCCGTTTAATAACTGTTATAAAATAAACCAAACGTTCTTCCTTTGAAAATTACGATTTGCTTAAATTACGTAAGGGAAAAGAAACAAAATGCTAGATAACATAGGAGGTCTACAAGAACAGTGCAATAAAATATTACAAATAACTAAAACCCCTATGATAATTGAACTGGACTAACTGCTTTCTTATTTATAGTTACTTATAGCCGCCTGAATTCAGCAGTCACGAGACTGCTAAGGTTGCGGATTTAGATGCGAGTTGCGTATGTTTTTGTTTATGAACTCAGATAAAGCTATAGAATTAAATACAGGGTGTGCTAGTACATCTACTACACTCCTCCGTAATCACGCATTCTGAAACAAAATTTAAAACAATTTTAAGTCGCATTCATATAATTTACACTTAGGAAATGATTTTGTAAATAATAAAAATAATATTCCTAAATATTAATCACGCGTATTCACAGTATCACAGATGAATAGGATGCTTTTGATGTACGTTTGGTTGAAGACTTTAGTGGTTGACTGGGAATAGACTTTAAAGTCGATGGATGTCAAAGTATACTGAACATTCCACAGTTCAAAATAATCAGTTAATAACTGGCCGAACACGAAATCAAAGCTCGAGTTGTTCGAAACTCAATGAATCTGCAAGCTGTGTATACAGTTTTGTTATTTGCATATTAATTATTTACGCTGGAAATTAATGATTCATTTTCAAATGCAAATAGGTGCGAATGTTTGGTTTTTATTCTAATCTCAGAATCTTTGCTTTCTACTTGTTGCCAACACCTAGAAAATATTTTTTAAACAAATCACAGGGAAAAGAAAAATAGATTCTTTAAAATGAAATGGCAAACATGTGCTCGGGGTCCATGAATTTTAGAAGCAATTGAAGTTCAAATAAACAAAATATAGGGTGTTCCAATAGTCCGTAAGTTTTAAAAATTCATAAAAATTGAAGGATTGAACGCGGTTTGCGAAAAGGTTATTCTCTTGAAGGGAGATATTTTTTTTGGTCAAAAAAAAAAAAAAAAAAAAAAAAAAAAAAAAAAAAAAAAAAGTTAAAATTTTTGTTGATAGAGAACGTCGCACAGACGCAGTAACACGAATTATGTAAATCAGAGTGCTATAAATTGCAGGTTTTGCGATTAACAGCTCATTTCTGAATTTTCCTCCTATTTTCTCATACCTATAGTTTTAATTGTGATGCTGGCTTTTAGTGGATAAAGCGTTATAATTGAAGTGGTTTTATCTCAACCAAGAATCGTCGACTTATATGCCCTTTCTTTCTTTGAACAGCGCTGTGCAAAAGGTGGCTGGAAGACTGGATGAATTACTGGAAAACGCTTACTTACAACTGCTGCTGGAGAAAGTGATACCGCAATTACTGGAACATAATATCCTTGGCACAGCGATGTTCATGTAAAACGGGGCACTTCGTTATATCACAAGTGAAGTGAGGACGTACGTAAGAAGAACCTTTACCGGAGATCGATTAATTACCCTTCGCTACAGAAATGAGTGGCCCACTCGCTCGCTGGACATAACACCACTTGGATTTTTGGCTTTAGGGTTATGTCAAGTCCAGAGATTACCACAATAGCTCATCTTCTTTGGTGCAGTTAAAGCCGGCCATTTATCACGAAATCTCTTCATCCATTTGGATATGCTATATGCTGCACTTAACGGCGTTGTAACTCACTTGTGAAAAAAGAAAAAAAAAGAGAATGCGTGTCCTCAGAATTAATTATTTAGGAATAAAATTATATGTGGAATTTACGGCTTCATCTGTCTTCGAGTCTGGCCGCACCGAATAGTCAGGAATGGAACACTAAAGGTTCAGCGATACAAGGATGAAATCCTCAGATTTATTACGATCCTTTTTCTGCAGCAATTAGAGACAAGCTCATTCTCATTGATGATAATGCCAGGCTACATCATGTTCATCTAATGGACAGCTTCCGTTTCGACGAGAGAATCCGTTGAATCGATTGTTCAGCATGTTCCTCAGATATGAACCTAATAGGACATGTTTGGGACATCTAGCGAGAAGGGTTGCTGAACGCTTATCATCCCCAGAAACAATTCAGTAGCTTGAAAGCTGTCTTCTAAAGGACTGGGAGAAAATACCCCAGACCCTCATTGATCCCTGCCTCGTAGGTGTGCGACACTGGTTTCAGTCAGGGAAAAGCATATTTCTTATTGAAACACATTTGTATCTTAGAAATCATACCTTTTGTTTTTTTGCAAAATATGCACAGATTACGCACTTTTTGTTTACCGACAAATATCGTCAATACAATTTTAACTGTTCCTTTTTCCTGCTTCATTAGATTCCTTATATCTTACAGTCACTAAAAGATTTCATCACCCGCTGTTTACATTCAAACTAATAATATCACCTAGTAGTTTTGATCAGTATATATATATGTTACTACAATGATGAAGCCCCAGCTCCCCCGGCCGATGATTCAGCCACAAAGCTTTTAGAGGCCAGTCGGACAAAACAAAAACGAACTGGAAAGAAAAGAATAAACAGTTGATCATGTAATAAAACGACGCATAAAGTAAAGAAAACAGATACACATCATTCACGCATCTACTCCAGCTAAGTATCTCTGTGCGTTGATATTCATTATTTCCCTAGAATAAAGCAGCATTTTATTATAATTATTAAGATGTCTTGGAAATTATATTTTCAGTTTATCTCTAATACTAGCAGGCCACAGGTTTCAACGACGTAAACATTGTCACCCCTTACTCTACATAGCCGACAAAAGTTGTTTCCCTGCAGGGCAGATCTATTCAAGGACATAGGAAAACGTCCATGTCCCGTCAAAACCTGATTCAGATCTATATCAGTGAAGCAGTTTCTTCCTTTATAAATATGCATAGCACAAATACAATTTTTATTTTTTTCCGAGGAATCTCAATTGTTTTTCCATTTTTCATATATACGATTGTATAAATTCCCAATAGTCGTTCTTCTAGAGCCCTGCAGTTTAATTTCTTTACAGTTTCCAAGTATGGCTTCTTTCGCCAGTGCGTCAGCCTTCTCAATCCAATGTATCTTAATATTATATTTTGTACGTAGATTTCTATATTCACAATAAGTTTATTATCAAACCCAAGTGCAGAAAGTGATTGCAAGGCCGATAGTGCTCCAGAAAATATGTGAACACATTGACCACCAGATAATTTATTTTCGATCCAGGTCAAAGCCTCCAGTATTGCATATAATTCAACCTGGTATACTATATTCATGAATTTTAATAAGAATGTTTGTTTTGCGCAGGCACTACACTATAATGAATAAACTCAGGAACAATGGACTGTATTATATCTCACTTTAATTCTCATTAATTTACATCGTTCATGGCCACTCGAAGCCACGAATTCTCTCACACGCTCTTAGCTCACAATCTCATGTCACTAACTCCAAGAGCTCAAGGCGCATGCGCCGACGCTAGGAATGAAATGCGCGTGCAGGCGCAACATACCGCCCGCCTTGACATGATGTAATCATTCAAAATTAA